TTTGATTCTCTGTTTGCAAGGATTATCTCTGTGATCCATTCTAGACACTAAGCAGGGTGATCCTGTGTCAGTGGAGCAGAAAGCCATCTTTGGAGCATCACATAGCTCTGAGGAAGAGACCATATTCATCATCTATCATCCACCCACGCCCCCTTCAAGTGATCCAGGGAGAGACAGCCATTCCACGGCTACACCAAGAGGTGAATCCGATCAAATGATCAACAATTCAAAGCAGGCTGGCAATAAACAAGAGCGGCTAATCAACTTCTGGACAAGACCAACGGCCAGAGCTAAAGCTCAGCAAGAGACTATTTAACACCTAAATAATGTTGTGAGACAGAAGGAAGAGATGAAGGTCGAAGGAGAAGATAAACCAGTTTGTTGGTTTAATGTGTTTCAATCTGTAATTAAGTTAAACCAACTTTGGATAGGATTAGGATTTAAACCGATTAGGATTAGGATTGAACCAACCCAGAGTTAGGATTGGCGCTTTCTTTTCTTATATTATGGTCGCCGCTTTTGGTTGAGACACAAAACTTTTATCAAAGAAAGCTTAAGCAGATTGCTTGTCTTGTTCCAGTGCTTTCTATGTTCAGCCTAATAATATTGATCTTTCATATAAGGTAGAGTGATCTATCGTGATCCATCTAAGACACTACACGGGGTTATCCTGCGTCAGAGAGTAGCTAAAGATGTTTAGAGTCTTTCCATAGCTCTGAAGAGAAGTTCCATCAGCCAAGAGTGTTAGTAACCTCCGCAACCACCCTACAATCATACCATTCCAAGATATCTTAACTTTAAAGCCCTAAATTGATGAAGTCCTGGCTCAACTCCAACTATCCTGCATACAACATAACGTTTAGTTATTTCCTTTTGTCTCATGTGTTAGCTAATTTTATAAAGGAATATGAGATTATATATGACCTAATTCATAGGAGAAAAGGAATGTGATGCACTATATAAGGAGGTCACATGCGAAGGTTCACATCATCCGATCAAAAAGAGAGAAAGAGAGAGCAATAAGAGATATCAAGAGAGATTAGCAAATTAAGAGACGTTTTTGCTTCGGTTTTTGTTTCTGAGACATTATTCTTTTAAAGAGTGAATAAGAGATAATTTTTGGCATCAAATTTATTCCAAATTCTATAGCACAAAGTTGAGGTTAAATCCTAACATAGAGACACACCAGACGAACCCATAAATAAATAAATAAAGCAAGTATAAGATACTAAAAAGAACCATATATTGTTACGCTATATTAAGATTTCCATATGGGGATGTGGAGTCTTTTATGACTAAGAGGATGATTTTTTGTAGATTTTATATTAGTTTACGGTTTTTGTTTTTCCAAAAACTATATTGTATCCAATCACTATTTTTTTAAAAATGGATTCCCTAAAATGTAGGGAAATTAGTTATTTACAACAACTGTTCTTTTCACACAAAAACCAAAATCAAGGTTTTCATGGTTTCTTAAAAAAGTTACGTTGGTTTTCAATTTATTTTTCTTTTCTTTTTTTAGAAAAAGTGTTTTTACTGTATTTATACATTAAAATATACATTTATACATTAAAATATACCTAAATGTAAAGTTTAGTAAGAATCATTTGCTTAACATATATAATATAAAAATAAAAAGATTTGAAAAATTGCTAATAAAATTAAATTTATTATTTAAAATATACTTTTATCTTTTAACTTTTATTTTGAAAAAAAAAAGAAATTAGAAATACATCTATTATATAAAAGAAACATTTATTCTTTGTTTACATATATTACTTCTTCTCCTTTATGCCTTGTTGATTCTTTGTATCATTCATTTACGGTTTAATATAATAAATTTTGGCTGTTAAAAAAAAGATTAACTTTATAATTATTTAATTAATATCCGATACTCTATAATTTGAGTTAAATTTTGTTAGTTATCATTATTATACACTTATAACATTGTAATTTTTCTTTTCATTTAAAATATAGCTATTAGTTTTGTGTTAAAATATTTGAATTACATAAATGTTATGTACTTTTACCATTTCAAAATATAATTATATATTTTGTTTTAAAAATGATTATTATTTTTTAGAATTAAATGTACTTTTAAAATCTAGTTAGTGATATTTACACCGTTTTAAACACTTACCTATCAATTGAATATTTTCTGGAGATATAAATTATATATATTATTTTCATTTTATAATATATTTTTAATAAACTTTCTTATAATTTTATTAATTTATAGTCATAACAATAATAATTTGTATTTTATTGTTTTACAAAGAATTATATTATTTTTAATAACTTATTTTAGTTTGAAAAAAAAAATCTAATGTTACCATTCATGTTTTTTGAAAAACTAAAATCTACAGTAAAATCAAAAATAAAATTCAAAAACCAAAATACAAGATCTAAACTCTAAAATCTAAAATTCAAAAACCAAAAACTAAAATCTAAAAACTATCCAAACAATCATCACCTAAGAAAATTGTCTTTATTAGGTATGAATTTTCCTAGACACTGTATATATAAATTATTAATTAACATAATTAATATACAAACTCTAAACTCTAAAAGATATTTGGTTTAATTGTGTGTTTCATTTTAATTGTTTTCGCTTTATTCGTGTTTTGATTTGCGTAGCTTTTAGATAATAAACATAGAGTTTACAGTGTTTGTCCCCAAAATGTCTACTCAGTACTCATTCAACGTGGCTTCTTACTTTTGCCCCTGAAGTGATTTTTTTTTTTTTTTGCTAAGTGGTAAATATCATTTCAGAAATGAATTGTTGAGGTTTACAAGATGTGATAAAAAAAAAACTATAAGACCTCTAAAACTTACTTCCATGGCAAAAAAAGGTAAAAAACACGGAAGCAAAAATCAATCGAACTTGAAACCGTTCTGCTTTGGAGCGAACAGGACATCACGTATCGATAAAGACTTGTAGTAACAGGATGGAAGGTAGAACAGAGACAGGCATGAAAAGAGAGACTGAAGAAACTAGAACACGAGGAATGTAATGTTAGTGGGAAGTGGATCCAACAGCTGCCTGAACAAATTGATTTTCTCCGAGGAACAGAAACAGACCCGCTCAAGGACCGGTCTCAAGGTCCGCGCTGGGAAAGAACTAACCCGGATTCTAGCAATAGACGGGCCAACATACACCACGGGTGCTTAATAGCGCTCAACCATCTTGACCGCACTCACCCTCAAAGTCGGTACAGAGAAAGGGGCAGCATCACCACCTCCCGAGTCTTACTACCTCCTCCAACCGCAAAGTGTTACCCCGAGCTCTAAGACGACCAAAAACCTCAACAACCCAACACATTTAAACATGCATTCCAATCCAAACAACAAGCAATGCCAACACCAACAAAAAAAGGAGGGGAGAGGAGGTAAATTAATGCATCACTCCGTAGCTAACCGCCTAATCTTGACTGGACAAAGTAACAGAGATGTCCCTATCACAACCAGTCTGAGGTCCCGAGACCTCTAGCTTAGGCGACGCATACCTGGTTAGCCTTTAAAGGCGGAAACCAAAGCGACAATTTTCCACCGGTGAGTAGATCTGGCGTCGGGACTGGAGACGTTTCCTTCGGTGATGAGGAGGATGAAGAGGCGGCACAGTCGGTAGAAGCACCACGTCGCGAATTCCTCCCAACTTCGACGAATCAAAGGACGCCATCTGAAAGACGACGACCGGAAACAAAATCACATCACCAACAGATCTTCACGCCGGAGATAGATTTGGATGTGGCGGGGTCGGCAAGAGCCCTCTCACAGCACCGGTTGGCACCCGGAGAGGCAAGCGGATCTCAAAACGGCAGAGTCGGTAAGAGTTAGGCTTGGGAGAAAAATTGGGAGCACGTGTGTATTACGCACGAGAGCTATCCTCAGTTCTACTCCTTTGCTTAATTCATCTGTCATCTCTTTGCTAGATTATTCATTTAACAAAATATAGCTTAGATGATTCAGACGAATTAACTTAACTTATGTTTAGGACTAAAAGAATGTTAAATTAATGCATCCAGCCACAGATAATAACAAGTTTCTATTTCTCATAATAACCTAGCTGCTTCTAGGGGTTTCGTACTAACCATCCCGTTAGTCCCACCCACTTCCAGAATTCACGCCAAATGCCAATCACCACCGTCCGATTTAAAACTTACACGTGTACGTTCCAGAGCTCATTATAACAACTAATCATAGCGCTTATAAAAAACATTGTTTACATCACTAAACACAGAAGAAGACAACGATAACAACAAAAACTCTTCTCTCATAACAGTTTTCTAAAACCCTCTAAACTCACGTGCTTCACACATGGCTCCGGAGCTTACACAAACCACCACCACTAAATCCGCCGTGACAATAACAAAACCATCAGCACCAGTCAACGGGGAATGAGCATACGTGACATTTCTCGCTGGAAACGGTGACTACGTCAAAGGAGTTGTTGGTTTAGCCAAAGGACTAAGAAAAGTCAAATCTGCTTATCCACACATTCTGGCTATATTATCAGACGTCCCAGAGGAGCACCGTCGTATACTTGTGGACCAAGGTTGCATTGTCCGCGAGATTGAACCCATTTACCCACCCGAGAACCAGACCCAGTTTGCCATGGCTTATTACGTCATCAATTATTCTAAACTCCGTATCTGGAAGGTGCTCACATTCCCTTTTTGTGTTATATATAAGATAGCAAAGGGGCTTATAATTTACAATACGGTGTTGTTTTAGTTACCCTTTTGAGTTAGTTTGAAAATATGGTTAATGCTCTGTTTTGTGTTACATGTATAGTTTGTGGAGTACAGTAAAATGATATATTTGGATGGAGACATTCAAGTTTATGAAAACATCGATCACTTGTTCGATCTCCCTGATGGCTATTTCTACGCGGTGATGGATTTTTTCTGGGAGAAGTCATGGAGCCACACGACGGAATATAAGATCGGGTACTGCCAACAATGCCTTGAGAAAGTCCAGTGGCCAAAGGCCGAGCTTGGAGAACCACCGTCTCTTTACTTCAACGCTGGGATGGATGTTCTTGTTCGAACCTGGACTTGATACTTACGAGGATCTGCTGAGGACCCTTGAAATCACTCCTCTGACTACTTTCGCTGAACAGGTAAGACGAAAAAGTTAGTAGTCTAACTGGTTCTGATCTGTTTCTTGCTCTGTTATAAGTTGTGAGATTTGATTGTGCAGGACTTTTTGAACATGTATTTCAAGAAAATATACAAGCCTATTCCTTTAGTTTACAATCTTGTCCTGGCGATGCTATGGCGTCATCACCCAGAAAAGGTGGAGCTAGATAAAGTCAAGGTGGTACACTACTGTGCAGCGGTTAGTTATTTTACGACCAAACTTGTAACTTTTGTAGTTATAGACCAATGGTTCTAATTGGGTTTTAACACATTCTTTGATGCCTTTCTAATTATAGTGTTCGAAGCCATGGAGATACACGGGGAAGGAAGCCAATATGGATAGGGAAGACATCAAAATGTTAGTGAGCAAATGGTGGGACATTTACAACGATTATTTCTTGGATCACAAGAAATCTTTTGGCGACCTTGAGGGAGAGTCAGATATGGTGAATCTGAAGCCGTTTATCACCGCTCTTACTGAAGCTGGACTGGTCAAGTACGTCGCTGCACCGTCCGCTGCTTGAATGCCTCGGTGAAGTAGATTCTGGTTCTGTCAGGGCAGCAAGTGGATTAGGGTTATGTGTTGTCCCCACCACACATATTGTCTTTTCTATCATGAATATTTGTGTGCTATAGATTTTGTATGTTTCTGAAGTTCATATTTGAATACCGATATTAATATCCGAAGAGATATGAATTCTTAAAAAAGAAAAGTAGAAAATGTGAAATGATTTCAAGTGTGAGAGGCGAGACGAAAAAGAAGAATACATGATAATAAAATCTTGGGATCGTTTTAATAGTAGTAGCGAAGCAGACCCCTTTTCTTTGATTTATAAACCAAACAAGTAAAGAGGTATCTTGCAACCGCCTTTCTATGCCTGCAGATCATACGTTCAAGTGTCTTTAGGCTCGGATCTAACCCACAATGATGACGAGAAGTGAAGTTAAAAGAGAGAAAGTAAGACCTTGTTAGCAATGTTGTTGGAGAGCCAGTCAAGTCCCTTGTAGAGTCCTTCTTCAGAGGTGGCACAGGTGCTCTGAATGTACCTGTAAAATTATACAAATGTTCTTTATAAGCTGACATGAATTGTGGACTTAGAGAACCAAGAGTTGTGGAAATTTTGGGCTCACCAGTGGCGTTAGCGGAGAGAGTGAAGGCCAAGCTTGTCAGTAATCTCAGCAGCATTCATAGCGTTGGGGAGATCTTGCTTGTTAGCAAAAACAAGCAGAACTGCATCCCTCAATTCATCCTGCCAAACAAAACAAAAAAGTCAAAACCCAAATGGTGAATTTAAAAACGTAGAATTGATTACCTCGTTGATCATCCTGTGAAGCTCGTCCCTGGCTTCAACAACACGGTCACGATCATTGCTGTCAACAACAAAGATAATACCCTGTGTGTTTTGGAAGTAGTCTCCACAATAGACGAATCTAAGCAAGAAAGAAAACCAACCATTAGTAAGAGTTGGATCGCAGAACTCAAAATGACGCTAATAGGAAACCAAAATGGTATGCCACCTTGTCCTGACCCCCGACATCCCACACGGTGAAGCTAATGTTCTTGTACTCCACAGTTTCAACATTGAAACCTGCAAACAATAATATTCTCAGCTTCTCACATAAGTACAAAAAATATGATGAAGAAGAAGTTAGTTTAGTTAGTGACTGACCAATGGTGGGAATGGTGGTGACGATCTCACCAAGCTTGAGCTTGTAGAGGATGGTGGTCTTACCAGCAGCATCGAGACCAACCATCGGAATACGCATCTCTTTCTTCGCAAACAGTCTGCTGAACAGCTTCCCAAATGATAGCCCCATCCTTTTTCATTTAAACCTGTCCACCAACAAACACAGATTTGAGTACAAAAACGCAATCTGAAAATTACGAATTAGTTCAGCCTTTAAGGAGGCTATGAATCAAGGAACAAAGAAGAGCAGACTAGTAAGAGACCAAAGATCATTCCTACAAGAATCAGAACTAAAACATGTCTGTCTAATTCGTTAACCAAATCGGAAGAAACAGCACAACAGATCTGGGAAATGAGAAGCTGAGCAAAGATCCGGATCGCAGCAGACAGATACATTCGAATCTACAGTTAATTGAGATGGAGAAGGAATCAACGTACCCAACGCCACACGATATCTGCTGCCGATGCTCCTCGCCTTCCTACGTTTCACGATTATTATTATTTTTACACAAAATTATCTACTTATATAATCCCACTAAACGTTAAAAATACGTCGACTATGATGTTTTTTTTTTAATTTTAAAATCATGGATTCGTTTATGATCTATTCTATAACCAAGTTTTTATTATGGGTCAACACAGTTGTTCAGCCCATTATTGAAATAATGACATACAAAATGATTACCATCTTCAGGGTCCATTGGGCTTTAAACCGTTTTAGTCACCACCTATTCGGAGAGAGTTTTCATTTTGATTACCCCAACTCAATGAAAAAGTTCTCTCTTTTTTTGGTCTAAAATGAAAAAGCTTTTTATAAGGATGAATCATATCCATCCATTGTTCTCGAAGTGTTCGGTCCTTTGCTGATTCAATTCCCTACAAAGTTTATCTAAAAGTAATGGTAATTATTTTGCGCTTATTTGAAGTCAAAACTATGGGGCACTATTACAATTTTCAGGCTCTGAAATTTCCTGGATTTTAAATCCATAAACTGATTTTACGAAGAAATATATTATAATTAGTTTAAAATGAAATTATTTTGGCTGTAATTAAAATGAGGAATATCAAAAGAGTGATGAGGAGACATGATAATGAAAAGACCTTACCACAAGCATTATATATTTTATTTACGGAAATTGGAAATCTAGACTTCATGCATCCATGTCTCATACTTTTTTGTATAAGTGGACGACAACATATTTCATGCATCTTTTCTATAAGTAACTTGAGAATCAATCAGAAAACTCAAGATGATTTGTATTTATCCGTGTTTGATATATAATACAATATTTTTCTATTTCTAAAATGGTTTAAGGTTTTCAGTAAACAAATTGTACAAAACTTACAAATAGTTGGAGACAGTGCTTACGTATTATGCTGGACGATTATTAATCAAAAAGAAAGAGTTCGTTATAGGCTCCGAATGGAGAACGCATATCACAAAATGCAGATCAAACAAAAATACAGATCAAACAGAATAAATGCAGATCAAACTAATTTTATAAATTATTATATTTAAATAAATGTTAAATATTTTTTAATTAAAATTAAATATATAAAGAAATGCAACTTATTAGAAATAAGTAATATATATCAAATTGACATAAATAACAATAAATATCATAATTTTAATAAATATATCGAAATTGTAAATTATATGAAAATTCACATAAATAAAATTATAAATAATATTCTTGTTTTGCACTTAAATTTAATATTTTTACTCAGTTTTGGTTATTGCCTATCATTTCTTTCAACTAAAAAACTAATATTTTATCAACAAAATCTTTATTAAAAACTTTAAATGTAAAAACAACCTGAAAATATCAAAGCTAATTAGAAAAGATAAATGTATCATTTATGTATGTTTTTCTACCAATTTAAATACTATATATTAATTTTTAGTGCATCCAAAAATAGATAATACAAAAATAATATATATATATATATATATCTAATTATTCTAAACAAAATATAAAAAGTTATGGATATATTAAATATATTAATTTTATGTAAATATGTATGAAATTATTTTTAAATTAAATTATTTATAAATGAAAGTATTATATATTATTTTAAAGATTTAATTATTTAATTTAAAAGGAAATAACATGAATTAATAAAATCTATTATATATTAAAAATTCGCTTTAAATAAATTATTTCATAAAGTAAAATATTAAATATTATTTTAAAGATTTAATTATTTAGTTTAAAAGTAAATAACATGAATTAGTAAAATATATTATATATTAATAATTATAACCAAAACAATTAAATATATATTATTAATGATCTGCAAATGTCCAGCTCATTTTCTCTCCTTATTTGCAAATCAAAAATTTGCTGTGTAATTTAATTCTGCATGTAGATCTTTTATTTTTTAATTATTTATTTTTGTTTTGCAAAAATTCTGTTGAATGGGGAAAAAATTGCAGTTCAATCTGCATTATAAATGGCCTGCATTTATTCTGCATTTGTCCTGTGTAACATTCAAAGCCATAGTTTCTCTACGCTCTCTGACACGTATTACGAAGCGCCGCATAAGTTTTCTTGTTCTCGATGCCGGCGATGGCTTAGCTCTATCTCCAAATCTAAATCTTTGTTTTGTATCGACATGATACAGCGGTCCAAGGTAACCGCTCGGGAGCGGTTTGATGGAACGGGATGAAAAGGCCGCTGTGGAGAAGAAAACATAACGATTTCTTAATGTTGGCCGGTTTAAATTGGTTTGACCCGGTTTAATTTAGTTAAACCAGTACGAGTTTGGACTCTCTGTATATAGTTTTAGATCCTAAGAATTCTAAAGTATCTCAGTTCTTTCAAGAACTTGTCTTTCATTGTAAAAGCTTGAAGTTTTATATCATTTTAAGGAAGTATTTAATATTATATCTTGTTTCTCATTCTCATTAACATGATTAACCTTGAATCCATCATGGATTTAAGGTTTCTCATGGAGATTAGAGAGTAGACAATTTTTGAATTCATGAGTTAGGTAGATTTAAGATGATTAAATGTAGATCTAAGTGTTTTCTTGCTAGTTGAGTGTGTTTAATGTTATTCTAGACTTGATCACTCTAGGATTGAACCTTAGTCATTTCCTACTCACAAGGTGTATGTTGAAATGGCTGAACCAACTTTACTTAGCTTTAAGACTTCTTAGCCAATGACCTTTGTATCTAAGAAGTTTTAGATAGTTATTAAACTTAATCTTAATGATTGTTTGAATTAATTAAGCCAATGACCATTTGTGTTTAATTAAATTAAGAAAATGAGCATATGTCTAGACCTAGGACTTGCTTAGTTAAGTTGTTTAGAGTTAAGGATACATTTTGATTGAAACCTTAATTGCTTTAGATCAACTACCTTAATCCTATGGATTCTACCTTATCATTTGATTGAAAGTTGTTCTTGCACTTATTTTTTGATTGGATTTGAGATCACCTTTGTTTATTTTTTTAGAATTTTAGCTTGTTACAAATCATCCATCTTCTTGTTTGCTTAGATTAGAAAAATTTGTGTATTCTTAGTGCTATAAGTCTCTAGTTCTCTGTGGATTCAACAACCTTTTATACTACATTGATTTGATCTTGGATCCTTGAAAAGTCTTGCATCAAATTTGGCACCGTTGCCAAGGAACTAAGTAGATTTATCACTAGGATTTCAAACTTCCTTGAGACTAAGCTTTTTCTTAACCTTTGTTTCGCTTTGTCTAGTTACTAACCTTTTCTTCTACCTTTTGTTATTTGTACAGATGGCTTCAAGCTACTTTGAGAAGCCACAAGAAGAGGAACAGCCATATGTGAAGCCACCATCCTTTGATATACGCATACTCAC